AAAAACCATCTGGCCGGAAACTTTTGCACGCCACTGTATGCTCAAACGTTGTAGTCTAAAATAAGGCGCACTATTATTGACTTTTGGTCCCCCGTATCTCGAAATCTGTTCAATTTACGAGCTTGAGACATGATGAACTACATCATATCAAAAGTTCAGCAAATTTAACCGGGGGCCATTTTCCATAAGATCTGTGCGGGGTCCTTTGCATACGTTGCTATCGACCGTTTCATCGAAATACTACTTTGACATTTTCGCAATAGCATGAATATCGAAGGGAACTTCGTTCGGGAGTGGATGGGATTCGTGCAAAACTCGGTGCCGGAAAGTAATCGCATTATCGCGGCAGACAATGCGTCCCTAAGTCGCGTACAGAGCTCGGGGGTCGGATACGCGACGATCCATTGAAACTTTTCGAGTAATTTCTCCAGACGAGGCAAAGAAAACGACGCGTAAGAAGCTCTGAAAATTGACTATCCGCCGGGAGAGTCGGTCGTATGCATCTCTTGTGAGGAAAATCGCGATTTCACGGTTCGGCTCGAGGAGACCTACCCGTGAAAGCCTATCGGGCATCTGCGGCGAGATAAGAAACCCGTACAGGACGATCCAAAAGTTACGGATCGATCATTTCGACCACATACGGACTTGGAATTTTGTCTCGTTTATCTTTACGATTTTATCAGATCCTCCTGATCGAGCGGAAAAAATTTTAAACTTGTCAAACTCCGCTGCATCCACACCGATTTCGGTAAACTTTTATTTTATCATTATTACCGTATTCAAATATTACTATTGAATAATACATTTTGACAATGTCCTTTTTTACAAACTTATATAGCTAAAGTAGAATACAAAATACTGAATACTTTATTATTTCAACATTTTCAGGTCCGGTGACACCAACGTGGTGCCATTGGCAAGCCGAAGAGAATTTTGAAAATCTTAATTTTAATGTTTTTTTTTTCAATAACCTCGATAAATCACATTTATTTACACGTATCATTGTAATGAATTTTGTGTTTTATATTTATACCTTTTAATGAACGGACATGAAAGTGTTAATAAAATATACTTTTGCGACGTTAGGTTTGTTTCTGTTGGATTTCCTAACCGTCTCACGTTGTTACAAAAATCATCTCCAGTGACGATTGTTTATGTCTGGAGTTTTGGCCATGGGTTCTACGAACTCAATGGTGTTTATTATACAAAGATAAGAGTTCGTCGCTAGGGCGAACTGCGCTTCACTCTCGCCTTTCTTCTGCGGGTGAAGTCACAGTCTTCCAACAGATCTCTTAAGCCGTGTCCCCACTGGGTCGGCAAAGAAATGGCTTTGCCGCGGTGCATAGCAGTGGCACGGCCGTGCCGCCTTGTGCCGCCTTTTGCCGCCTTTTGCCGAACGCTGTGCCGATCGGCAAATGCCGAGCCGTGCCGACCCAGTGGGGACGCAGCTTTAGAGAACAGAACTGAACTCTTAGATATACCTTCTACATATCATTTAATAAAAAGTACATTCGATTAGTAATTATTGTCGTTTCATTCGAATCACACGTCCCATAGCCCTACCTTTTCCAATAGTTTCTTCAAGAATTTCGATTTTTCACGCTTTACTAGGCCGGTTTCTACTTATTCGAGACAGCTCGAGCAGCAAAGGGAAGAAATATACGCCTTTTCCTTATAGCTTTTCTCCCCCCGTGGAATTTAATCGCCCCTCCCCCTCAGCCCGAGGAGAGGCCATGTTCGGTTTAAGCTCGCAGGCTGGAAAATGCAGTTCAAGGGAACGGCTGTTTCCTCGCGGGCGCATAAATTCGATAAAACCAGCAGCCGCCGGCAGTTGCGTAATTCGCATCCTTCCGAGCGCGAGAGAATTTTGAAGTTCTACGGGATCTCCGTCGGCGGTCACCTTTCTAGCATCGTCTTTTAACCCGACGTTTCGAGGGGACGAACTTCTTCCCACCATCGAAAGTTACGCCATTGTTTCCCCTCCACCAACGATAAGCTTTCGTATCGTCGCCGGACCACCTGCGAGGCGCGAGAAATCGAATTTCACGCTGCTAGCTGCCAACCGCGACTAAAAAACGAGGCGCTGCTCGTTGCTGTCCCCGCTGGCCGTCGCTCGAGAGCCGGAAAGGGGAGGTTCCCCTTTGAGACGTTCGAGTCCGCGAAAGAGGAAGAGATACCTAACTTTAAGTATCTCCCAGGATCGTAACTCGTAAACACAGGTGTCCTTAAGTACTTGATCCCGGTAGAAAATACCGTTTTAGAAGAGCTTATATTTACACAATATTTTTAAATTAAAAGTTCAATTCTAACGCAAAATATTTCACGACGAACGGATAGACGAATGGACGTTTAAACGATCGATGGAATATTAGGACGAGTCATAAGTAACTTCCGTTTTTTATCAGACATTTATTTTGCTCTCATTAAATAACAAAATTATATTAATTTATTATGTATTCATCACTATTATCTATAACCTTCTCCTATCTTCCTGGCAGTTTATCAATTCCTTGATGCCTTGATACCTTGATTCCTGCCTGACCTGCTCTTCAGAATTGAAGGTTTTTCCATTCAAAAAGTTTTGTAACGAACAGAAAAGGTGGTAGTCTGTCGGGGCAAGATCCGGGGAGTAAGGTGAATGTGGTAAAACAGACCATCCAAGCTCAAGAATTTTTTCTTGAGTCACCCTTGCTGTATGTGGTCGCGCATTGTCGTGTAAAAGAATGATGTTTTTGCGATTGACGAGTGCAGGACGCTTTTCATGGAGTTTCTCTTGCACTATTTGCAACTGCTGAACGTACCTATCCGCAGTAATTGTTAAATTTGACTTCAACAACTCGTGATGAATTATTGCTTGGCAATCCCACCATAGACACAATAAAATCTTTTTGCCATGGATGTTTGCTTTCGGATCTGGTAGGGATGGTTGATCCTTATCAAGCCACTGTCTTTTGCGGACTATATTGTCATAGGTAACCCATTTTTCATCACCTGTTACAATCCTGTTTAAAAAAGGCTCAATTTTTACCCGTGAGAGCAGACTTGTGGCGATTGACATGCGATCTTCTTTATTCCGTTCACTGAGATTGTGAGGTACCCATACTCCTAACTTGCTGACTTTCCCTAATTTCTCCAGGTGGCGGTTAACAGTTGATTATGATGTATTCAACCTTTCTGCTCTACCTCTTGTTGATTGACGTGGATTTTGCTCCAATATTGCCTTTAAAAGGTTGCCATCAAAGTCGGAAGGATGTCCCACCCTCGGTTCGTCTTTTAAGGTCGTATCTCCAGAACGGAATTTTATAAACCAATTTCTAGCTGCCCGATCAGTTATTAGTACTTCACCATATACGCTGCATATTTTTTGAGCTTTAGCCTTAGCACTATTGCCTTGTTTAAATTGCCAAAGCATTACATGACGAATATGTACTTTTTGATTCTCCATTTCAGAGGTTAAAAAGAACAGTTTAACGTAACGTGCATCACACAAAACAGTTGACAAAAGACTAACTGAAGCCTAGTCTATATAGTGAAAACAAAAAGTTGTTGTCATGGTAACTCATAGCGGGTAGATACGAACAATAGATTCTACTTAGCTGCATCGGAAGTTACTTATGACTCGACCTAATAAATTACTATACAGGGTGTTCGGCCACCCCGGGGAAAATTGTAATTGGAGATTCTAGAGGCCAAAATAAAAAGTTATTAAAACATGAAATTAAAAAATTTTAAATCAGTCACGCAAAAATTATTTTCGATTGCGGGACTCAATTACAATCATTTTTGGTGAATAGACATACCCTCAAATTCCTACGCATTTTCGAGAGAAAAATTCTTTACCGAAAATACAATGTCTGACCCTGACATTCCGATTTCCCTGAAATTTCAAAAAGTTTTAAATCATTCGGGAAAAATTATTTTCGATTGCGGGGGGCAATTACAATCATTTTTGGTGAAAAGACATACCCCCGAAATTCTACGCGTTTTCGAGAAAAAAATTCTTTACCGGAGATATAATGTGTGGCCAGAATGTGCCCTCGAAATTTCATGCGAATCAAATTTCAGTCAAACGATCATAATTCCTATAATAGTGAATGTATTTCATTGAAATTTTTTTGCTGAAGTAAAAAAAAGTTCTAAACAACTATTCCACAGAGCGTCAAACAAATTTGTTAAAAATGAAAAACGAATTTTTAAGAAAAATCGATAGCTAGGCCCCCCTGCTGAAATTTTTCGGCGGAAACAAAAATTTCAAAAATTCTGAAAAAATTATTTTTGGTTTCAGGGGTCAATTACAATCATTTTTGGTCAATACACATATCCTCGAAACCCTACGCACTTTCGAGAAAAAAATTCTTTACCAAAAATATACTGTATGGCCGGAAATGTTTCTATAACTTTTTAACGAAGCCTCAGTCAATAAATTAGTATCCTTGATTTTCATCTTATTTGCGCCTCTAGAATCTCCCATTAAAATTTTTCCCAGGGGTGGCCGAACACCCTGTATATGGCGATATTTACGTTTACACGTCTGTATTATAAATTTTGTATCATTTTAATATTTTCTATTTTGTTTAGCTATATAAGCTTGTTTAACATGAGAAAAGTTTTGGAACATAAGACTTTATTCACACTTTCTTCCGCTGCCTATTCTTTTCTAAATCTTCCCGAGAGCGTGATCGGCTGTCGTCACGCGCCGATCGCCCCACTCTTATCAAGAGTGGTTACCGATCCGTCCGCGAGGCTTAACACTATGTTACACTTGTGAAACGTATTATTGTAATAATAATAATAATATTGATAGGTTACGTAAACGATGCCCCTCTCGATATTTGGATTACTTTATTATTATTGAATAATACATTTTAACGGACAATACTCATGAAAAATATAGTAACAGACACGTAAATTGAAAAATGACGACGTAGATATTCCTTTTGAGTGTGGCTAGTGTCACATTAAAAAGATTACTTTGCGAAACATTTGAAAATAAAACTCACCAGTCGCTTCGAGGGTTCCGGTCCTTGCTTGGTAATGACCAACGGTGCCGGTATCGAGGGCCTACCCAGATACCAATCCTCCCTCGGATTGTAGTTGTCGAGGAGCTTCAGCAGTCGTGGCACGTTCACGTAATTATCATCGTCGAAGTGGCAGAACCATCTGAAACCGACCAGGGGAAGATCGATTTAAATTCTCCGATTCGTATCAACGTTTTCGCGTGGTTATAAAGGTGTACGTTTTGTTAACTAAATATCCATGATGATTACCGTTGAGGTTTTACCGCACAATGTATATTTTGTATGTGTTGCATTACATTTACAAACTGATCTATAATCAAACATTTTGGATCTCAAAATTATGTAAATAGAATGATTACTCATACAAATTTTGTACACACTAAAACTGATTTAATTGAACAATTATTAAAAAGTCGAAAATTATCCTTGCAACGTATCGTAAATTAACTTATTTTGTTAAAGTTTGTAAGCGATAATGTTTGACAACGTAAAATCCACACATGTAGTTCCTTACATATCACATATTTGTACTAAAGGGTTAATTCCCTTTAACAAATGAATAATAATAATAATAATACAAAAAGTGCTCCAGCCGGTGGCAGATTACCTACACTGCTTTATCGACGCAAATGAGATTTACGGTTATAGTTTGTCTTATTAGTCCTAACAATTATCGATCTTGGTACCGATCACTGGATTCTGCAATTAATGTAACGCTACATTCACCGGGTAAACACAAGTTTCGATAAAATTATTCGTCGATGAGCATCGATAAACAAAAGACTAGAAGATAGTCCGCTATTATCGGTCGATAATTGCTTGCTCTGGTCGAACTGCAACGCGGAATGACCGATAAGGAACAACGAGTCTCGAGGGGGGACGAAAGGGGAAAGAAAAATCGTAATCTACGTTATCGTTGGCGGGGCGAAGCTGACATCGAAACGCAATCGCAATGGCGTTTCCTAGAAGGCGATCCGAGGGGAGTCCCTGACAGAGAGCATAAACGGCTGTACCGAGCGGCAGATAGGCGAAATAAAATCTCTCTAACGAACGGTTCCGACGTGCCATTAGCGCTACCGGGTGGCAACGGGTGGTCGATACGTACCTGCCGCGGACTCTGGGCATCGTTAATACAGCTGAATTCCAGCTTAATGGCGTACCCGGGTACGTGGCGAGGCAGAAACGACGCTAAGCTTCGCTTCGTACGCGCGCAAGATCGTATCTTCCGCGCGAACCGGAACACGATACGGTTGTTGCGACAACGCGCGGACCAGCTTCCTCGACAATGCCACTTTTGTTGGCCGGCAATTGGCCGATCACGGTCGAGCACCATGACGGACACCGGTGACCGGCACTTTGACACACACTGCATTCTTAAAACGTTTGTGATAAATAAATCGTAATATTTCTAAACTTTAAAACAACATCGACACCGTTGGAAATAATGTAAAAAAATTATAAGCACGATTACCTACTTAACCTCTTAGTTACAATGCACAGTGGTCTCAAACCGTAAAATCGTGGCCAAAACACCAAAAAATAATTTTTCACTATGGAGGTTTGACCTGTTGGAAACGTCAGTTTAATGATGTCTCTTTAGGGTAGGGAAAATGAAACGAGTCATATTTTTATACCTGGATGGCAATTGCGATCCAAACTTCGGCTTCGTTAGTCAGTCGTTTGTCGAGAGTGTAAGCGTCAGTGCATACCGTAAAGTGAAAAGTGTACAAGTTTTTTTTAGAAGGCATCAATTTCAATTTTGCAAAATAGATGCTGTGTCTGGAAGAAAGTAGAACATTTCTGAGTGCTAACATATTAAAAATTGTTATCCAGTAAGTTTGTAAACCGGTACTTTCATTACTGAAAATAAAATGTAAAATTTCATGCATACATCGTAAACAAGTAAGCAAAAATTTGCATATTCCACAATATCACGCTACAATTCTTTTTCAGGCTTATATTTGATACCTTGACCTTATAGAATTTGCAAGAATTAGCTGCCCGTTTTTGCCCGACTGGTCATACCACCCTATTTTATAATGCAGGGTGGCCACGTTACTAAAACACGCAGTTTTTTCTTGGAAACTGTGGCAGATGTAAGAAATTTTTGAAAATAAATACTCTTGAAATAATCTTGAAATTAATGCATAAATAATTTGTTATTATTAAATATTGTATATTTTTTAGTGAATCAGTCGATTTACTCCATTATTGACTATAAATCTGCATTAAACTAATTAGATGAAAAATTATTTATTTCGAAAATAATTAATAAAATTTGAGAATTTGTAACTAATATATTTTTTCGTATTTGTCATGTAAGAGCACTAGGAGTCAAATAATATGAAGACCCTGCTGCAAACTGTAAATTGAGCCTTATACCTGCCTTTCTTTATGACAGACATGAAACATCTGTGCGGTATTACCTTTCGTTTTCATTTAGATTTTTTACTTATACAGTGTGTTCGCCCACCTCTGGGAAAAATTTGAATGGGAGATTCTAGAGGCCAAAATAAGACGAAAATCAAGAGTATCAATTTCTTGACTGAGGCTTCATTAAAAAGTTAAAAAATTAAATTAAAAAATTTCAAATCATTCTGAAAAAATTATTTTTGTTTGAGGGGCTCAATTACAATCATTTTTGGTGAATACACATACCCCTGAAATCGTATCGACTTTCTAGAAAAAAATTCAATACGGGCGGTACTTTAAATGCTAATAACTTTTTAACGAAGCCTGCATCAACAAATTAGTATTCTTGATTTTCGTTTTATTTTGGCCTCTGGAATCTCCCTTTAAAATTTTTTCCAGGGGTGGCCGAACACCCTATATAGCAAACCAATAAAGCGCGAGCAAAAGATAGCCTACAATGAATAATCTTAAAGCCTTTGCTTTAATTCTTGAAGAGTGTTTTTTAAATATATTGTAATTTATGTATAATTATGTATAATATATTGTAATTTTATTTATTTGCAGGATCTTCCGATAGCGAAATACGTTTTAGTAGAAAAGACATTTATTCCATGGTGAAAGGCTATTTAAATAAACCATTGAGAGCTATTAATCAGCATTTAGAGGAGCAGCTTTTCTAATTATGACTTTTGATTCGTAATCAGCGACCTCGATAACTTTTTAGACAAATTTTTAGCTAAATTGAAGAACTCCTTCATACTTTGGCCAACTTTTCGGGATTTGGGACCACTGTGCGATGAGCCAGTATAGTACAGTGAAAACTCGATAAATGTCACTTCTCCGGGTCCGGTCAGGAACACTTATGGAATAGGAGAATCGTTTTTCAAATTTGATTGTAGTTTGCCGACGTCTCGAACATAGAAAGAGTCAGTAGCTAAAGAAGGAAGAGGGAATGAAAACCGGATTTATCGCTCTAGTTTAAATATCAGTTACACGTTACATTTCTGAAAATATTTCAGTTTGTACAAAATCTGAAATTGTGTGCCAAAACGTGTTCAATTTCGAGTGAAATGTCTCAGTGGAGTTAGGGAAGGGTATTTAATGGCACCTCCAAAACATGTATGTACTCGTATCTTCACAAGGTCAGTGGATAGTACATTTATCGAACAGAGGTAAGTAGCAGAGGTAAGACAGCACAAGAAGGACAACCAAAAAGAGAAAGACTCGCAAGTACAATATTTAATTCAATATTATGCTATCAAATATTGATCGATTTATATCTTGTTTAGTCTCATTTTAATCAGCAAAATCTCTCCCGCATGATAGTAAAATTTTTATTAACAAAAAGTAAAAAATAAAAAACTTTCTTCCATGCAGTTAGTGTGGTCACACTGACAGAGAGGCATTTAAACGAAGGTGACGAAGACAATAAAGATTTTTAAAGAAAGCCGCTACGTCTCCGGTTACACTTCGCCCAGCTGGTTCAAGGGGGATTCCTCCCTCTAGTGGTGGGGATAAAAATGTATCATTTACGGAACAGCTCTTGAGTACATTTATCGAGTTTTCACTGTAGTGGATTTCGCGGATGTCATCTTTTTGAACGATGTGCCATAGTGGTTCACTCTAGTGACTAACTAGCTCACTGTTCGAATTAAGTGATGGTTTTCATATGTTTTGTTTCACATTATTTTTGCCTTCAGAACGTTTTATAACAGTGTTAACAATATACAGACTGAATATACAGTCTTTGGTTTTGATACGCCAGTGTCAGTTCCATTTCAATGTACTCGCACAGAGAACACCATTGTTCCCCTAAGAGGTTAATAATATTAACCTTCATATATCGCATAATTTATATTTTGTTGTTCCTGGCCGCAAAATTCTCGCTGATAAATGAATAATAAATAATAAATAAATAACGACTGAATAATAAATATTTCTACTTTTCACGCGTTATAATTTGAAGAGACGTTAAGGGTAACGTGGAGTGCCTCAGAGGCGTTTGACACGAATATAAAGTCATGAAAAATTTCACACAGCACCGAGGCTATCCGAAACGTTGACTCTATTTTCAAGACGGTGAGGTGGAACCTCGGGGCAACGTGCTTGCAAAATGGCGTAGCTAGATCGATTCGCGTGTACCCATTTTTTTTTTTGTTTGATTTTAACATTGCAACAACGTGTATGTGCGCCCGTTAACGATCGAAATAAAAAGAATAAATTTTCGATATTTTGAAATGCGACGTGAAAGATTTATTTCCTTGGTCAAGCTGTGAGCTTTATAAATTCAGAATAATCCGATACTCCAAGAGTGGAATCGCGAACTTTATAATCGCACGGGTGCCATCAAAATTCATTCCATTATTCATAAATCATAAATTCATTCCGTAATAAGACGATTCATTATCCGATATACAGTAGAGTTCCGATTATCCGACAGGGGGTAGGTGCCTAAATTTTTCGACGAAAAAAAAAATTTCGAATCGTTCTGAAAAAATTATTTTCGATTGCAGAGATCAATTACAATCATTTTTCGTGAATAGACATACCCCCGAATTCTTACGCAAATATAAAATTACCACAGAGTTTATTCTGTTTATAAAATATGCCGCTCGTAACAGACCTCTTTGCGGTCCACGATTCGCTAATGTTTCTCCTGCACTGCGATTCGACCTCGCGAATATACGGGGAAGCCAACTGCTGAAGTCAGGACGCGGAAATTGGAACGAG